AGCTTCAATGTTGAATTAACATATATATCGTCCAGATCACAGGCTGTAACTTTTATTTTGTTGACATTTCCTAAATGTTGAATATATTGATCAGACAGTTCAAGATACCCGTTTAAGACTAGCTCCTGTACATTTGGCCATGAAGATTTTAAAACACATTCCTGATAGATCTTGTCATGTGTCATCTTTATTTCTGTCGATTAAGTACATATTCAATTTGCTTACATACACGTATTTTTCTTTGTCCTCTTCTTTTATGGGAATTTGATAGAAGCCGGATTTCAAATCCAGTTTAGAAAAATATTTATATCCACGTCCTAGTTTTTGTATTGTATTTTCCATGTTAGGGAAGGGGGACAAATCTTTTATTGTAACCAAATTTAACTTTTTATAGTCAATGACAAGACGATTCTTTCCATCAGATTTTTTCAGTAATAACGCCGGTGCTGCGTATCGAGAATGGAATTCGCTTATCAGGCCAGCTTTTAAGAATTCCTGGCAAATTTTATACATGGATTCTTCTGTATTTGGTTGAGGATATGGTCGTTGTGCAGGGGGTGAATGTGGAAGTGTGTTAATAACGTGATTTATTGGTGTGTTTGCAATATTATGTTTCGTGGTGTCAAAAATAATATGAAAACGATGTAGAAGGGATGGTAGGTCATCATGTCGTTTTTTATCTTCCGTTTTACTAACTAACTGCTGAATATCTTGTTCAACTTTCGGATGGATAGATTGTATTCTATTACAAATGATGGGTGGTTGAATGGTGTTATGTATATGATTGTCTTGCGTTGAGATATCCTTCTGTTCGGTACTACGCGGAACTGGTGACGCGTCAGAAAAACTGGTCTCACCAAGTAAAGTGCCTTTAGAAGAACACGAGTAATGTTGACAATATTGGTGGGGCGGGTAACACATTAAATATTCGATACAAAATCCTTTCTGAATAAAACGTCGATACTCTGAATCGTTAGACAATGTAATAGAGGTAGAGTAACGTTGAAAAATAAGACGTGTGTGTGCAATAAAGAGCGATGTGTTGTGAATATAGCGAGAATTAGGAACGAACGACGAAATAATAGAGGAAATGGGAATGGAGACGTTAGTTTGTTGAGTAGAGTTAGGAGAAATATGCACAGATTTAGACAATGTAACAGGAAATATTTGTGTATCGAAATCTTTATCAATGACCATTTGCGCTTTATGTTTATTATTATCAATAAAAATGGTTTGTTGTTTAATATTAATATTTAAATTATAGCGGTTTATATAATCCATTCCTATTATCATATCGTTACAAAGATTTCTAGCTACATGTGCATGAATTTTAGTTTATTGATCTCCGAATTTTATAGTTAATTCCACAATTCCTGATACTAAGAACGATGCCACTCCATCTGCTAATAGAAAAGAATATGAATCTTTATTGATGTATTTATGATGTTTTATTTCTCTTAATGATTTTTCGCTAATAAACGTGACATACTTTTCTATTATTAAGAAATGTGGCATATCCATTTTTTTCTTGTTTTATTTGACATCCATTTAGCATTGTCTGAATCGTTCGGTTTGTTATTACTATTATTATGATTATGATTATCCCTGTTCTTCTTATTGGTATTATAATACGACACGATTATATCCAAGATATTATTATTATGGAAGAATGCTGAACCAATACACAGACCTTGATCTTCTTCTAGGCTTATACATGACTTTTTTTGCTGACTGTAAATACTTCGCACATACTCTTGCGCTTCTTTTCTATTTGGTTTTCCGGATCAGTCATTAAAAGACTATATATCTGACACTATTGACGTTTGCCAGACATATATGGGTAATTCTATCGAACCATTACCAGGTTACATGTGACGAGTTCATTCATGACTCTTATCTAAAAACTGCACCAATAAATGCAAATCGACCAGGACATGCAAAGGCGGAAACAAATGATTCCTATCTTCGCCGTTTGTGCAGTGAACTTGACCCTCATGTTTCTATGAATTCGTGCAACTTGAAATTGCATGAAATTCAACGCTCTTTCGAATGAGATAAGTCTCGAGATTTGCATAAAAACCTGATGTAATAGTTGTACAATCCGAAAGAATTACCCAAGGAAGCTATCTCCGATGTGGTCTTGTTAGGATTTACTATTTCAGTTTTATTCTTTAACTCTCAAGCAGCAGTCATAAGAAGTTAAATTTTACACATAGCAGTATAAATTCTAATCCCTGCTAACGTTTATTTACGCCTAAAAAGATACCGCGAGATAGGCGCAGATTCAGAAATTTTCAAAATTTTCTAGATGCGTCTGCATGTGCATCTAGCAATAGTTAAATCGATCGATTATCGGGCGATAAATCGATAGTTGCAACCAGAAGAAATCTAACAATCGTCCAATTACTAGATTTCCACTGTCGTTACCCAATAGTAGCAATCGAGTAAAAATCTAGTAATCTAGATGAATCGGGCGATACTAGATTTTTTTGACGCTTGGGATGTTTGATTATAAAAACATTGTAATGTGGGTTGTAATAATGAATCTCTGATAAAACAACCGGCATAAAAAACTGGAAGATGATAAACTATTTTATGAATGAGTGAATTATGTAGCTATTGTACGCATACCCAAACGTCAAAAAAAAAATCAAGTATCACCCGATTAATCTAGATTACTAAATTTTTACTCGACTGCAAATATTAATTTATCGCTCGATAATCGCTCGATTTAACTACTGCTAGTTACACATGCAGACGCAGACGCATCTAGTTAAAAGCCCCTTTTGCAACTAGTAATCTAAATAGCAACTAGTCGTGTACGGTCCGGTTATAGTCGAAATGTATCTAGATTTTCCCCATAAGTAATGTCTGCCTGGGTAAAGTTTACTAAATGCTGAGTTTATGATACGATAACTTATTCATTCCACTAAATAGAACTTAGTGTTTCTTTTGAAGTTTTGTTTATTTAGGAATGGATGCACAACTCTGGAAAAACATTTATCATTAGTCGTTCCACGGAAATGACCCAAATATGAGAAAAAATTAAGATTTTATCCCGTTTTATCTGTTGAAAGGAATCAAAACCGTTAGTGGAAATGTGCATGAATCCTGCCAGTCTCGTGCTACAGTTAGAACGGTATGATACTCGTTTACCCTGTTTTATCCATAAAACATGGAGTTTTTTAATTTTAGCAAATTCATGCACTGATAGACAAGAAAGGACTATCAAGCATCATTTTGATTCTGTACTTAAAATCATAAAAAAAGATTTAGATCATAATTTCGAAGGTTTCTTAGAAGAGTTTCTAAAAACCAAAGTATTTTCTGTTGTTTTTTTGACTTTTATTGAGCTTTGCTGTAGATAAAATAGAATATTTTCTGTCATGCTGAAGTAGATTAGATGAATCGTGACTGAATTCTGAATTTTCTAATTTTTGATGAAAAAAGCCAGAAATGGATTATTTCACTTACGAGGGAAGGTCACCATCTATCCGCTTTTGAGACGAAACCTAGTGGATTATAGGTTATCGACTATGCTGATTCCGAATATGGCCATGGCAGCTGCCCATTAAAATGAGACGTCTCCCAGCTCTATATGACTTTTCTTTGCAAAGTTATAGAATTTACAAGAAAAGCCCTAAATGTTCAGGCTACAATCAGGCCTCATTAAAAAAGGTTTGGGTTATTTTTTAGAGTTTCTGAAAAACTGGTTTTCCGAAACCCGAATCTTCGGAGACCTATTGGCAGCTGCCATGGTCATATTCGAGATCAGCATCGTCGATAACCTTTAATCCACTAGGTTTCGTCTCAAAAGCGATAGGACAGTTGGTGGCATTCCCTCGTTAGTAAAGCTTTTCACTCAGTCTTTTGCAGTTTGCTCTGAAAACTAACATTGTCACGAGATTCAGCATAGGCGATAACCTATGTTTACATTCATTTCGAACAGTTCGAAACCTAACGGCAGAGGAGTCCTAAAACTGCAGAAAAAACGCCCATAGCTCCCGAATCATGGATTCCGATATGTTGCTTAGATCCAGTTTTGTAGAGGACACTTCGAACTATACATCTATGAAAAAAATTGAACTATTTCAATGTCCGTTTTTAGAGTTCCAAACTGGTTTTCCAAAGATCCGCTGCAAAATCGGTTCAAGAACTTTTTCAACAACCGTCTTTGATTGTGAAAGAATAGCCTCAGATGTCTGCTTTTGGTTGTTGAAGACCGCAACGTTTGATCTTACGCTGTTATTGAGTTATTGAAAAAATGGCAACCTGCACCGGATTTTGGAACAGATAGTAACACCCATAGACTTCCTTTGTTACATGCTCCAGTTACCTGTACAAATAGAACTCAAAAATTATTTTTAAGGTGGATAGAGCACACTCTGACGAATCGAACGATTAATAATAAATTGAATTTCGTTTCAATTTTCACTGAAAAGAAGCATGTAGAAATCTTACCGGACATCTTTGCGTATTTTTCAAATTTCTCCTCGATGATGCGATATTTCAGGTTCATTTTTCTACCAAATATCGAACCTCATGAGGTCAAAAAATGACGAAAGTTTAATCTCGATCGGAGTGCTGTTTATCGAGATATCGAAAAAACAAAATGGAAAATCTCACCGGACATTTTGTGGATGAAGGCTCGATTTCCAACAATATAATAGAATTTTGTGTACAAAGAAAGTACTTTTCAAATTATATTTTCTTATCAATTTGTTACGCACTCGAAGCCGTATCGATTCTACTTAGCGACAACCATTTCCAGTTTTTCCTTTAGCTCGACATTACGCTTTAAAATCTCATCGGACATAAATTCCAAAGTGAGTAACAGAGCAAAGAGCAGCGTTTTTCTAATTCGAATCTTACCTCTGTCAGGAATCAAATGATGTGAGATTGTAGAGAAAGATGTAGCCTACAAAATGGAAAAGCAACATTACTCTGAAAGACTAAATATATTGGAAAAAATTCATTTGCTCTCGGTAGACGGCGCCCAAAACCAGTTCAAGATACCCGTTTAAGACTAGCTCCTGTACATTTGGCCATGAAGATTTTAAAACACATTCCTGATAGATTTTGTCATGTGGCATCTTTATTTCTGTCGGATCATATGTGGATTCTCTACCATACATACTCATTCACAATGGATGACGTGAACAAGAGCAAGACTATGCATTGTATTTATTTACTCTGGATGCTGTCCATTTTTGCTTCTAATTCTCACGCTCATCCTATAAGCTGCCAGTCAGTGGATGAGCAACACACTCCTTTCACATCAAATAACGTTCATTTGACGAGATACACTCGGTATACAGTTAGATAATCCAAAATCAGTGATAAGTTTGTTGATCCTCTAGTTTTTTATTGCTTTAAGCTTATGTCTGATTATAGTTAACTGGTTAATACAATCTACTCATGCTTTTTTCCAGTCTAGATTCTACAGAGATACTTACAACTGAAGTTGTTACTTGAAAGATTATAAATAGGAAATCAAACATTGTGTAAAAACACTCTTTAGCCCGTCTTTCTATGCTTTTATTGCCATATCCAAACGGAAAATCGTCAGATCAACACCCGAAGTCAACTGAAATCCGAATAAAACTTGAGTGAGTCTGTTAATACGCAACAAGTTCGACAAAATGTCGACAACTTCTTAAGGATTGAACAAAGAGAAATGCCATTTCCATCTCGTTGGCCTCCGTATGTCGATTGACGTCCTCATTGAATAGTAACAATGGGGCATAGTAGTTTAACATATTAAATACCTACGGTACTGTATGTAGTATACACAAATACTTGTAATCAAAGGCAAACGCAACTAAATGTATCGAAGTCAAATGAGCATATGTTGATACACTATAAGCTGAATTTACTGTAATACCAGTGTATGGTTTAAACCTAAACAGAATCGAAAAGTGGAAGTGTTGAAGTCGCTCTAGTCTGTTTAATAATTTCTCTTATAGTTCATTAACATTAATAGACAAATATGGAATATTACTCAAAGGCAGATGAATGAATATCGATAAATGTTCTAAGGAACATAAATGCTGTATTAGTATTACAATATTTGTGAACTTCGATGTACAAAGAAAACAATCGAACGAAAAATAATTAAGAGTCTTATTTAGATTCACATCATTTTCGTTCATAATTATGTCTTCTTCCTCCGACGGTAGATAACTCATTTTTTGACACAAAACTTTTAAAGAATCAATAAGTTTTTTAAAAGAACAAAAATATCCTTAAAAGTTTGCAGACGAATGTGTAATTCACGTATATTATAGTTCAGTGATACTTCAGAATTCACTGTATAATCGAACATATTACAGAATGAGGAAGATTGAGTGGACAATAATCAGTATTTATAAGACGATTCTATCGTTCATTTAGCGTTAGAAATGAGAATAGGAGTTGGACTGAGTTTAAATAATCAAATATACATAGAACAATTTCATTTGGAATATTTTCAAAACATGATATTTTGCTTCAAACACAATAATCATCATCATTAGTTTCTTTCAAGTGTCTGTTTCCTCTACTTACATAAAGTCGCCATATATTTCATTATGAACTAAAGGGTCCTTTCTCATTGGTTTCATCTGCGATAGATTATATTCTAAATCAAAAACGACCATACAGATAGACAAATTCTTACCGTGCTACTTTACCTTCATTATTACTTAGTTTTCGTTTGTTGCTCTCCATGTCCTAGTTTTATCATTAGCTTTGAATGTTTGACGCGAAAAAAGCATTAGACATGTTCAATCCTTGTTGGTCATTTAGTGATCGCTTTCATTATGTAATGATCTATCGTATATATTCAAGAAGTTTTAAACTAATTGATTTCCTCTCAGTCTCACCAGAAACTCTCTACCACTGTACGTG